GTGCAGGGTGTGTGTGTGTGAGGGCTCCAGCTGGCAGTACTTGCTCTGGCGTGGGGTTGTAATGAAGGGGTTGTGATACAGGAGGGTCTGGCTCTGGTCTGGGACTGAGGGTGGGAGGGATATCAGGGCTGGGGCAGGGGTTGGGACGTAAGAGGCTCAGGAGTGCAGGTTCTGAGTGGCACTTTTCTCAAGAAGCTCCCAGAAGCAGCTGCACATTCCCCCTCTAGCTCCTTCATGGAGGCATTGCCACATGGTTCCGCATGCTGCCCCACTGGCAGGCACTGCTTCTGCAGCTCTCATTGGCCATGGCTCCCAGCCAATGGGAGCTGAAGGGGAGGGGATTCTGTGGGGAGAGGCAACACATGGAGCCCTCTGGCTGTTCCTATGAGTAGGAACCATGAGGGTTCTGCTTCCAAGAGCTGAGTGAAGCCACAGCACACATGGAAACTCCAGACCCTGCTTCCCAGCGGGAAGCTTATGGAGAGATTAAAATGGCTGAGAGGTTGGCTATGGCCCACAGGCAGTAGTTTTCCTACACCTGTTCTATTCATATAATAGGTGAGAGGAGGAAGAATAGTTTCTAAAGTAACTGAGAAATTGTCAGATCAGACTAGATCCAGCCCTCTTTAATATTAACCTAGTGCCAATAAAACAGAGCCACTGCTCTGTACTGGGTAAAAAATAAACTACAGATCCAACATCTACAATTTGCTTCTTAAACGAGGATGGAGAATCAATTTCCTCAGTAATTTTGCAACTGTGGTAACAAATCAAAAATGAGGGCAGGCACCAGATAACCAAGAAGATGCATAACACAGAACAAAATTCACCCAAATTAAAGCAAACTCTTCTACATTGTCACTTTTTTAGTAATTAGTATCATTAGAGGCACAGCTTTAAGCAATTTTGAGTAATTAATGTTTTTATATTTTGCATAAGAAGTCCTGACTTCAGCGTTTTCCTAGCACACAAATTCTCCTAGTCAGAGCCACACAATACAGATTAACTCAGTTGAAAGACAATTAGAGTAAGCAGAAGAAAATGTAATTTGTCAGTCCGTACAAACTATTACTTCCAGCTTTGGATTTGATTTTATTACCAATACAACTGGCTGATTTAAATAGAGGCAGACGGATGATTTCATCAATTCCTATGAACACAATTGCTGAGTATCTAAGCCACAAGTGCTATCAAATATTTAACATTTTAAAATGACCAAACAGACAAAAAAGCTAAACAAGGGAAAACCTTAATTCCTTGCTAGGATAGGATTTTAATCAAAATATACACTTATAACTTTCCTCTTTCATATTTTGTTATCTGTATTAAACATTAAAAATAATGAATTGTGCAGGAAGCTCAAGGCTGGCTTTGTGGTTAGTACATAGGGTGTCATGTTAGAAGTCCTAGGTTCTATTGCCAGAACAACCACTAACTTTCTTTGGGACTCTAGGCCCAGCTCTGTAAAATGGGGCTAACATATACCTGCTTTCCTACAAGTGTTCTGAAGATGTCTTGTTTGCAAATCTGTGAGATGTTCTAGTGAAAGGGTCTGTAGAAGTCCAAAGTCTTATTAAAAAAATCAGTGACCAGTGTTTGTCCTTTCCTGTTTTAATTACAATGTTAGACATAAGATGGAACTTTGGACACTGGGAAAAATTAGAGCCCTGATAACTTTAAGCTGCAAATACATAGTAAAAATACAATACATGAAATTTTAGGTTCCTTTTACCTAATAATTGCTAGAATTGGATAGTGGCTTAGAAGATGTCAGTAAAGAGAGGAAAGAGTAGGAATGGGATCGGGTGGAGATGGATATTTCTGGTCTTACATGAGACTATATCAGTTCTCTATGGGTGTGTCTACATTGCATCCACAGCTCGAAATAAGCTATGCAATTTGAGCTACACACCTTGCATAGCTTATTTCGAGGCAATTTCAAAATAACTTATTTGGCACTGTCTACACAGCACTTAATTTAGAAATAAATCGCTATTCCGAAATGTTGCTTACTCCTTGTGGAATAAGGTTTACAGGGATGTTGACATAGCAAGCGCATTATATTTGGAAATAACAGGTACTCTCAAAAGTTGTGAAATAGCTATTTCAGGATACTTCCAATATCCCAAAATAGCACTGCAGTGTAGACGGAAGCCTAACAAAATATCACTCTCAGAGGAAGCCAGAAAACACTTTCCCCAGCCTTCAGAATTAGCAATACTGATTTATTTAACAACAACAAAATGACGTGCCTCATACTGCAGACCCTTTATCCTGGTTCTTTCTGATTCTTTTCTGCTACAATACATGGTACCTTAGTGTTGGCTGCATGAATTCAGTCAGCACCATCACAAAAGGGGCATATTTTTTGCTTGGAACCAACCCTAGTGCTATTGATCCACCCTTATTATATAAGTCTGTTAGTTCCTTCAGTTTCTTGTTGCTGCTTTGAACCCCATCTCTTCCCCTTGTTTTCCTCTGTTATTTACTAAAATTGTGATGGACTCAATTCAGTTGGCTCTTGATCTCCTTGTCTTCTAGACAGCCAATAGTGCTCATACTTCAGCCTCAGGCCAGCTGGCAGCACATGCCTATGACGACAGCATTCTCTGAGACACGTCAATGACAGAATTAAATTAAGTAGAACAACAAGTCGACTGACAACTGTACTATAAAATGCATGCAGGGCTATAATTAAATGGCTTCACTTCCAACCTTTTACTTACCCTCCTGAAGAAAGTAGATGAGACAGGTCACCAAAATACGATTGGTGATTTGGGATATGGGATAGCATGACTACGTGCACCTATGTCCATGCCTTTCTTTCACACCATACAGCCTCTATGCTTTAGTCTCCCTAATTTGCCATTCAGCCACTTATCTTTAGAAAGGCTCTTTTCAAGACTCCTGCAAATCACCTCCATCTAAAGATGAAAGGGCTTTTAAAAGGGGTGGAAATGAGAGACCTTCCATCCTTACGAAGGCAGGAGGAAATCTTATGTCTGGTAGGTTAAGGTGAATTAGGTGGAACAAGGGAGAACCTATGTATCCATCACAACATTCAAATAAATTCAAGGTAGTTTGCCAATACAATCTACTGATCATGCAAACAGAACTGCTTCATTTCATTTTATCATAGAAAACACAGATTATTTAATACTTTAGATGTATAAACTATATTGAGACCAGTGGACATCAGAATGCACATATGAAGAAGCAGAACAAATACACCTGAACCTCTGTGATCTCGGGGCACCTGATCTGGGAACACCTGGGGTTCAGACCCTGGCAGCGGGAGAAGGATGAAGCTTTTCATGCTGTCGCTCCTTTTTTCCCCCAGGCGAGG